GCTTCACTAATGTGAATAGGTTATACAGAATTTTTTAAATAGTTTGTTCCAAGAGCCAATCCGATACACCCCAAAAAGTGGAAATACATGACCCTTAGGGATAATTCTAAGGTCCACCACTCATAAGTATTGGGCAAATTTCTATTATATAATGGTTCCAATGCATGTGTTTATCATTTTTCCTATATATAAGGGCAAAATGAAGGGCCTGGAACTCCTTAATAATTTCAACATGAGCAAGATGACACTCAAAGTCATAAAGATAACTTGGAGGACATCAATTTTGTTAAAGGCGAGCAGGAGATAAGATGGCCTCAACATTTTTAATGACAGCAGAAGTGATGTCATTTTAAGTAATGGAAGTATCGACTATGTCATCATTAGATACTGAAGTGTCATTTGATAGAACATTAGCTGGAACATCTTGACCTGTAGCTGGAATTTCTCGAGTTGCAACAGCTGTGGTGTTAGAGGCTATGACATCAACAAAATGGACTTATTTGGAATGTCACGGCGGCTGCTAGGCACTTGTATCTTCGTTACAACAGAATTTAATACTTATCCAGGTTGCGTATCAATGTGGTCACCTGAGGTTAATGTTGAAGAAGCAACATTATTTGATCTTCAAACCCATTCATCTAGTAAAAGGAAATTCTGCAAAACCTGGGGGAATGGTTCAACTCCTATTGTGAATAGTCATACCTGTACTAGCAGTCAAGAGCAAGACTATTCGTTCTTCCACGTCTGGCAGGCACTTCATCACTCTTTTCAGATATTTGGTTATGTTGGTTTCTTTTCCTTCATTTTCGGGATTTGTTGGCTGAAGAAGGCTAGGGCATGCACAATGTAAATTTTTCTTCCTCTTTCTGAGCATCAACCGTTTGTTCGTGTCCTCGGAGGGTAAGGACAAACTAATTGAAGGTAGGGATGTTTTGTCACCATGGCTAGACAAAATATTAATATTTTGGTCTAGACCACGAGCAAACTGGAATACCTTGTCAAGATCATAGACAAGTTTTTTAATGGCATCAAGATTGACACATGTCGACTTAAACTCCCCTATGTACTCATCTAAGGACGTGAACCTTTCTTAGTAGTCATGAGAATGTCTCTTCAGAGCAGCCCCTCTTCCTCAATAGTTGTTTGAAGTAATTGTTCTTCCAACGAACTCCTGTGTAGGTTGTTGCATCTTCGTCAATGGACGGTTGGGCACTTTTGTCATACCAAGAAGCCATGAGATGAGTAGTCCATCATTGATTACCCACAAAGTATAGGCTGGATTTACACTCTCTTCCAATTGCTGCCGCTGGTTTTGCACCATCCTTTCCGAGGTGATGGAGCACCCCAAGACTATGAGCAAGATGAAGGATCTCTGAACGCCGTATGAGCTAGTTGTCGGAGCCTAGTCTGATGGACTCTAGACTCTCAAATTAGTGGAATGCTTGGATGGTAAAGTTTGGGCTCTTCCCCTTCGGCTGAGAGATGAGAGCAAAAAGGGCTTCTGTTTTGGGAAAGGTAGTGTTTGGGCTTGCGAGTTTTACAGCTCTGATACCATGAAGACTTAAGATAATTTTGGCGAAATTAGGGTTGTGTATTTTCTTCATTTGTTAGACTACACAGTATGCTATACAAGAGATGGAAAGTTACAGCAAATCAATGCAATGAGCCATAATCAGCACGTTCAATTGACCATGACAATGGCGAATCCAATTTTTTCTTTTCCTGATGAAGCTTACGACCTTTCCTTATGAATTCTAGGAGACTTGCCAACATCAGTGGCATATTTTCTTGATTGTCATCACATTTTTAGTTGCCTGGTCATCAAACAGCATTTTCCTTTTTGAAAAACATTCCTTTTAAAAGGTCTGTGTAAAAGAGGGTCTGTTGAATAAGAAATTGGAATATTCTAATTGTTGGTCCAAATTCTCTATATCTATGAGAAGCAGCAAGTCCAAATTCTCGACATTGCGTGTAAATCAGCAAGTTTTTGGAAGCCTATTTTCTAATACTCAAATGAATCAACATTTATTCCTGAATTTCATGTTTTCACGTTTAGGTGCATGCTTTCATGCATTAAACCCTGTCAATAGTTTGCATAAGGTAATAAGAGTCAGCATATGTCGCTTTTCAATTTCTAACCATTACTTCCTAGCAGCATCTTGTTTCACATTGCCCATGTATCGAGATAATCTTGTATATATCATTGCATATGCAAATGATTCTCTTTCCTCATGGATCATCAAATAATGTAAAAAAAGGCTAGTGTCTCCTCATATTCTACAAGATTGAAAAAAGAAGGATGAACCTATAACTTTAGACAGTTGTGTTTAGTTTATTTTTTGTGACAGATGAAACTATTTAAAGAAAAGGAATTACCAATAATTAATAAGTGGTTTCTAGAGATTGCCAAATTACAACAATCTAACATAATTCCCCTTGAGACCACTAACCCTTAAGTAGTAGGAAAAATTATTTCCATGTGTGGAAACAACTAAATACTTTACAATAGCTTTCCTCTAGTACTTCTAAGAGCATGGACCAGCACAGAACTTGTTGACAGGTGAATCCACTTGACGTTGGTTAGAAATTAGAGAAAGAATCTTGAACTGCTGGCAAGATTGGAATCTTACCCAACTTAACCAACTGCTGACACTAAAAACCGAAACAAGTGTAGAACTTAAGTGCAAAGCAACGATCATTTAATACGAACAACGAAGTGTGTTCGCAACACCACGGCTTGGAAAAAAAAAAGCAACTAACACAACTAGGCACGTTTGTTATATATGACTAAAAGTTTGTAGTAATAAACAAAAAGCGCCATTCCTCAATTGAATGTGGCAAATTCAAAAAAAAAATAGAGAAGATAAAACTCATCCAACAAGATAAGGTTATGGGGCATGGGAAAAATAAGACATTTAAAAGCAGCAGGCTTGCTTGGTTTTTGCAATCACTGCATTCGTGCTTACTGATAAAAAATTTGTTTGAAGAAAGCGAAAATCCGAACCTGGCAATTGGGAACCCCTTCGTTGTGAGCAGCAGTGTTGACATTTTCTACCTCTGAAGAAGACTGCTTCAGGGACAACTCAGAAGATTTTGAAGATAACTCAGGATTTGTACAGGTTCCATCCTCTTTTGCCATCTGAGACATGGGCTGTTGTTCAGATGGATCTTTCTCAAGGTTCGTCTCCATTTGAATCTCAAACCTGGCTTCCAGTGAAGAGTCTGTCTCCCCAATAAATGCATGGTGAAATGAAAGAGGTTTCTTGTTCCTGGATTTTAAATCTGTGATTGTAAAATCTTCTTTCGGATACAGATTTCCCTTCACAGTCTTACTTTTACCGTGACTCACAGCATTCCTGTGCATGAGATACTCATCTTCAGCAATAGCGTCACTATGTGCACTTCTTTTGTGAATTCTGCCACTACCTGATGATGGAGGAAGGGATTTTGATCTACGTGAAGATCTCATAAGCTTATCCTTCCAACCATCCCTACTGCTGATACCAGAAGGCCCATCCCACATAGTAGTTCCATTTTCTCTAGCAAGTTGATCACGTTCTCCATCAAGATCCATCCTGGCATTCTCATTTTCAAGTTTTGTTTCTCTATCAGGAATGGCAAGCATTTCACCCAGTGTGCTAGCCTTAGCAGCCATGTCCACGTCTTGATATTTGTGAGTTGTCTTCCACCTCTCAGACAATCTCTTCTTTGACTCCCTACTGACAAATGATGACTCGAGTAAATTGCAAGACAAATATTCAGACCCGTTATTACGACAGAAGGAATTTCTAGACGACGCTTTAAATATGTCAAACTCACTGCCTGAATCACTTTCATAAGCATCACATGGACTCTCATCCCCTGCATATCCTCTGACTGTAGAAGACCTTAGATCGATCCTTCCATCACAGCCGTGTCTTATATGATTTGTAATTTCCCTGGCTATTATTCTAGCTTTCCTTGACTTGGGCTTCAAGAATCCCAAGTCATGAGGGGAATCTTTTTCTCTCGAAGATAGTGTTTCAGCACCTCCAACAATTGGATATTCCTTGAGGTTTCTTACATTGGACAGAAAACCATGTGAGTAATCAGGCAATGAAGGAGATGAACCTGCATTGTGCATCTTCCTGATGTTTGGCTTGAGAACAACAATTCTTGTGGGAAGGGTGATTTTCTCATCATTTTCTTCTGAATGAATCTCTGACTTGCGAGAAATGTGAGCTCTACAGTGACTGTGCGAGTGGAGTAAAAGACCATCTTCACGTTTCTCATCACAGGCGAGGTCATGTTTACACGAATTATTTCTCTCTGATTCCCAAGCTTTGACATTTCCTTCATAATTAGCAGAATTTGATGGCTTCAAAACTGTTATATGACTGCTAAGTGAGCTGGGACGACGGACCTGCAAATCATGCAAATGCTTTGCACACAAAGATTCTGGTTTCTGGGGAAATTTCAGCATTAAATCTGTATTTGAGTCAACCATCTCTAGTGTGTCATCAAACTGTTTTAAAACCTGAAGCTTTGCATCCGTTGAAAGACATTTTGCATCCATGAACCCCTGCTGAACGAGTGCCATCTCAGATTTTGTAAGCCTTGATCTTGAACTCCTTATTGACAAGTAATGTTGATTAGTGATGTGTGAAGCTTCCAGATCTTCATATACATCTTTGAAATCTAGCTTCTTCATTGAGCTTCTCCTACTCGAACGGTCATCCAAAAGTTGACCACTCCCCTGACTGCTCATTGATGCACTTTTCTGTCGATAGCTATCCGATGACCTTGATCGTTGTCTATGAACATGTCGTGGACTTGGCAACACTTCAAGACTAATCAATCTAGGAATATCAGTTGGTGATCTTCTCTTGGCTTCAACTTCTTGTGACTTTTCTTCTGCCAGTAAATCCATCAGCGTTCCAGTGGACTTTCTCAGAGAGCTATACCCCAATTCAAGCATGAACTGCAAAGACCAAGTTAAAATTATCCAAACCTTTGAGTCTCTACAGGCAAAGCAAAAGTGCCATAAAATACATTAGCACCTCAATTACATCATCGATGATAATTAGAAATTCAGGAAGGTGAAAAAAATTGTATAAAGAAAAATAGATGTCCACGCACCATATCCTTTCTTGTGGTTCCATCTATATAAGAACTAGAATCAGATGACGATTTTGAAATAGCTTCCTGTTCCTGAATGTGTTTCTCAATCTGTTGAATTCCTGGATAGAAATTTAAATAATGTCACCAACTGTGCAACGAATGAACACATGGTTGTTAGCACAAACTCATATACATATGTAATCAAACCAGACAACAATTCAAGATAAATCCATCCAAAATTTTTTTAGCAAAAACAGCAGAACGAAATTCTAAAAATACAGTAAACATTATAGTTTAGAAAATTGGGAAATTTTAGGAAATTCTAAATAAAATTAGTACAACTCTTGTTAAAGGACTAGACCAGTAATTATAACCCATAATAAGTAGAGAATTGGATAGAGGAACACCATAATGCCGATGCCACTGCAGGAAAGTCAAGAAAACTTACTTTATCAAAAGCAGTATAATCAACTCAAATCTCATTAGCTTCACGAGAGAAGGAAATGGACTCGACAAAGACTCTTTTTTTTGTTGCTTAATCACAAGCAAATTAATTTTAATATAATAATAACATATGCTCAGAAACAAAACGAATTTTTAAACGAAGGATTATGAAAACAGAAAAAATAAAAATTGAACTGGTGAAAAATTGATCGGCTTCTGCTCTTCAACAACTCGTTTTTTTCACACACACGCCAAGAGCGCCAGAAAGTGGTTGATGGGAGAATCCAACGAAAATAAAATTTGCGGGTAATACCAAAAAGAGAATATATATATTTTTTTAAAAAAAATTAGGAAATCACAAATTTAATCAAAAACGCCTTACTGGATTTTAAAATTTTTCGTTTTTCTTTTCTTGATCATTATCCAGTAATTCTAAAAACTTGAAACGAACTCGATAAAATTTATTAGAATAGCTTTGATGAGATTTCGCAAAATTTCTATTCAGAAAAAGGAAAAATTAACGATTGACAGATAACGACTGAATCAAACTCAAAAAACATTTCGATTTGGATTCTCATTTCTCCGCAAAACAAGATGCGTACACGAAGGGGGAAAAGGGTACCTTCAAATTCAATGTTTGTAATACTCCTGGACCTCCTATGGCAAGCTCTCTCCATTTTCTCTTTCTCGAGAAATTCAAACACAAGGGATAAAAAGAACAGAGCAAAACCTTTTCTCTATTCAAAAAAAAATGAAAACTAGAAAGGGATCTAAATTCTCTCAAAAAAGTACATTACAACGCCACCTCGAAATCCATCTCCATTATTTCATAACTTTTCTTCAAATCATCTTTAAACACCTACAACAAAGAAAAATCCTTGTCATCATGAGTTTCTTGCATTACAGAAAAACAGAGCAGGACTATACATGCAAATAGTATAGAAACAGAACCGTGTGTATACATTTATGCAGTTTTAGAGAGAGAGTGTGGACATTAATGAGAGCACTGTGAGTGTGTGCGTGTGTATTTTGAAATCGATATAGAATAGCATAGAGTTGACACGAGGGAGGAATACTAGGAACTGGAGTNTTAATGAGAGCACTGTGAGTGTGTGAGTGTGTATTTTGAAATCGATATAGAATAGCATAGAGTTGACACGAGGGAGGAATACTAGGAACTGGAGTGGTCTATCTGCGCGGGCAGGAAGTAATGGGGCCCGTTCCAGTTGAAATGGTGGGACCTACGTTCCACGTTTAGGATAAATATAGTGACACGTAAGAATTGCTCTGTTGCGTGAAGGCAATGGTTAAAATATTACACTCTGGGTCCCCAAACTATTGTCAGAGTAATCATTTAGTCTTTTATTTGTCTTCAAGGAAAGAAACAGTCAAAATTCTCGGTTAAATCATAACGTCCGTTTGATTGCAAAAGTAGAAAATTGGTAAAAAGAAAATGAATTCCAGGGAATTGATTTTTCTAGAAATTATTTTACTGAGAATTGTAATTAATTGTGTTTGATTGGTATAATTTTTTACTTGGTCCGTTTGACTTCGTTTTTATGGAAATTGTCAATTAAATGGAT